AAACATTTCAAGAAAAGCTATTTTGATCTTCTTCAAACTTCAAAACAAAACAGAATCAATTTTATTACATGAAACAAAAAAAACCGTATTAAAGATCATTCTTCATCTATTCAAACAGGAAACCTCCTGTATATAAAGAAACTCCTCATACGCTGATTAAATAATCTACAGCTGATTGGATGGTCCCTGCTCACTCGTGACGGGCCTGCTAATCCATTCCTAAGAAGGCCAATAATACTGTTTGTTGAGGACAAATGAGGCCAAATATAATAATAATGGACTCAAATGAGCCAGCCTTCTGTTTGCAAAGTTGTCTTATATCTAGACTTACGTAAAAAGAATTCGAATATTACTCGTGTAGGCTTCTTTCTTTGTGGCAAGAAAGACTTTATTTTTTTTGGAACCGTCTCTTTTGTTCAATAGAACAGTATTGAGCAAACTACTTATTCTTTGTTGATGATAAAAATAGAAACATTATTAATGTTTAAAAATTTCACCACCATTATCAATACATTATTTATCAATTACCATTTCTGACGAGTAAAGTGAGATTTATTTTTGTTTATTTTTCCTTATCGTAACAGATTATACCAAGCAAGAAAAAGTAGACTTTAAGTAAAGAAGATAAAATCTAGTATGTATTACCCAAATATGTACATATCTTTGTCTGAACTACTAATGGTAAAATTTGTAGATTCCGTGCGGGAATCGGATCCGCGACACGTTGCATGGCGCTCTGTTGTCAGCCACCGCGCCAACATCAAAAAGGTTATTTCATTATTAACTATTATAACGTATAGCCAACCAGTACCCAACGAAAAACGAGTACATTTGAAATCAAAAACCAGTTCCATTTGTATAATACAACATCAGCAATTCAACTCTACAGTTTTATAAGAAAATCGATACAACGCACACAGACACTAAAAATAACTTGAGACTTAAAGCGAATAAATCAAACTCTCGAGAATACAATAAAGGGATCAGCTTCAAACAACTTCAAGGAAGTTGGGGTGTAAAACAAAAGAGGTTGGGGATGTCAAAACCTTCGTTGTACATGACATTTGAACTCTTTTGTTATAATACAATAGTTTTTTTTTCTGTAATATAACTATGATGAGCTCTCAGAATACAGTTGTTCTATATTCTCAGGATGAGCTATATTTTATTCAGACTCGTCCATATTTCAAAACAAGATCTATCTTTAATTTAGATTCTAGGAATTTTCAATGGTTAGATAAAAGTTACGTGGGGAATAATTATGATGCTGTCGCGTCAGAATGTTTTTGCGACAGCAACAATTTTATTCCTCAGATAACATTTATCGAACTATTGGTAAATCAGCCCTAAAGGTTTTATATTTTGAACCTTACTCGCTCCCACGTTCAATTCTAAATACATAAACTGGCCCGATGGTTTAGACCTAGACTAAATAAAAACCTTGTTTTGTAATAAGGCCAATAGTGACTGAAAACCACCCTGGTCCTTCTCCTGCTCCAAGTCGGTGCCGCGGAACATAATTGCGGTTGCATTCAAAACCCTGGCTGACGAAAGTAATTTTATTTTCGCTTTTACTACACTATTCCTGATTACGCAGCAAATAATTACATATTGTTGTTAAGACAGCTGTTAAAAATTAAGCGCTAAACTTGGATATTCAAAAAAAGAACTCGCACTCATCTCAATAAAATTTATAACAAAGAATACATTATATTACAAAAATCAAATTAAAATAGAATATAGCCCACAAAATCGGCGGAATTGTTACGAAAATCTCGAAGCGTGACTTTTACCAAGCATTTCCCAACTTATTGAGATTTTCCCAGTTTTCCTTGAGCTGTGCCTCAATTTTTTTTACCATTCAACACTTTCCCCTTTTCGCAGATATTTCGTCCTCCAGGGAAATTTCTGTTAGACATTATGAAAACCAATATATATACATTATATTTTATATTACACGCGAGAAAAGATTGTTGCTAAAGTAGTTTTTCTAGAATATTCTTTTAGATATAATATTATGTACAACGTTTACATAGCATTGGAATTTAAATAAAGAAACGGTAGTATAATTTTCATTTGAATTTCATTCAGACATTGAAGTGTTAAAGTGTCTTTATGGTTATTTAAAATTCACGGTCGATGTTGAAAACAAGCAAGAAAAATATACCGAACTGACATTTTACAAAATCAATTACGCTATGCGAATGAAACTAATAGTTTGATAAAATTATTTAGTTGATCACATAATCGACACTGCCATAAGAAATCTCCATAAGCTTTTTCACTTCACATCATCAACCTATAAATGCCCACTACTGAGCAATGGTCTCTTCTCGCACGCAGAAGGTTTGCGCATAATCACCACACTTGCGCAAGGTGGATTGGCGTTGGCAAAACTGATCGTTATTATAACCTAAGAAATAAGGCTGAAAATAATTCAGCCAAAGAGCCAAGATTTTAGGCAATTAATATTTTGTGCACATAGAGCACTGTTTTTGTTTGTGTGCAGGGTGGCTCATCATACCTAGTGGGGGAAGGAGGTAGGCAGAACGGTAGGTGAATGTGTCATCCATGAACACAAAGCATGGCTCTGCCCCCTTTGCATACAATTGCTTTTTGGCATACATGACGCTACGCCAATAAGATAACAAGAACTGTATACCCGCTTCTAACCTTATCTACTAACATTTTGTCAGCGGTTTTATATGAAAAGTTTGTTCGTAAATGGTAAATGGAATTTTAAAGTCCTGAATGTTATCGTCTGTCGGGCAATAAGTCTTTGGTTCAATTGATACAACGCCTGATGCAATTGAGACTCAATTATAACTGTTATTGTTTTTTTTTTATTATTTGCAAAAACGTTGCCCCACACTAGGATTTTCTCCTGTGTCGTGGGTGCAGTTTCACATACACATCAGACCCATACCCGAAACAACAATTTGTGGTTCACACAAAGAGTTGTTCGTGCGGGAATCGAACCTGCAGTTGCCCAGACAACGCAGCAACCGTGCAGTCGAAATTGTAAATTTCTAATTCATCATCATCATCAGCCCATAAGTGGCCAGTGCTAAGCAAAGGCCTCTGCCTTTCCTTAGCACTGGCCACTTATCCGTGTGAGAAGAGTCTCACACGGAGAAGGTTTGAGCATTAATCACCACGCTTGCTCAATGCGGGTAGGCCATTTCATACTTATAGTTAGAAATTATAAGTCCACACACGAACCGCTATGGAGTAGAATTATTTACCGGAATCTGTTATTATCCGATGGGTAAAACCTGGCTGTCTTTAAGACCCGAGTGAATACCTTATGGGTCCATCATAGGTCGCATCATCGCTTACGACCAGGCGTAAAAGCGGCCAAATACCTGCCCATTTCTAAATTAAAAAGGCCATCCTTATTTTATTAGTATAGATGAAAAACAAACACTTAGATACTATTGAACAATCAATAGAACAAACAAAAGAATATTACTTCAACTAGAGTAAAAGTAAATGGTCTAACTTGACCAGGCGATTTCTCAAAAAGCGATCTTATGTACACTGAACTTTATTAGTTGACGTCCAAAGTAAATATCTTTAAAAAGGCCATAAGGATTTATTGGACGGGTCGAGTAAACATCTACTATATAAAACAAAGCAAATATAAAATAAGATTCTTCATATATACGGAATTATGTTTGAACAGTGATGTGGGCAGTTTTTCCTTTATCCGCCTCTGTAGGTTGAGAAATGCTGTTTTCCTTGTCCAATAAAAGTGAGTCTCCATTGTATTAAATATGCTCTTACTAAAAAATCACTCTTAACTCGTCTGGTATTGCAGGAGTCCATGGGCACTTACCATCAGGTAATCCGTCTGCTCGTTTGTTGAACCATGATATAAATAATCTAATATTGTTTCTTTCACTCATACTTTGTGTGCCTTAACCTCCGGGCCACCACGACGTTTTTTAGCACTCCTTTGAATGGACAAAAAAACGATGAATCGTAAACCAAAGATACAAACTTTCTTTTTGACAAATAATTCAAACTAATGCTAAGAGTCTTAGCCTACCTCGCACCACTAAACTGTGGAATTCTGAAAAACCCTACATTTATTCTGAATCGATACGACCTTCAAACAATGATGAAAAGAGTTTTTAAAAGAAAGAAAAACAGTTTATCTGCTCATGTGAATACTATCCGTAACATAAAACAAATACTAAATGATTCCTACATGTTTTAGAACAGGTATCAACGCGAAAAGTAATTATTTAAATACCTTGTAACGCTTGACGTTAGAATTAATTTTATGGTTTTCCCCTCACAAAAGAAATGTTTCGCTTACCATTAGGTAATGCGTCTCATAAAAAGTTCAAAAAAAAGACTACTAGCATCTCAGTACACAAAAAGGTCCTCTACTTTGGGTTCACTTGAATCAATAACAAAACCAAATACAATATGTAAAGTCCAATTAACTGGGTCCTTTTGTAATAACACTCGACATGATTACTAAACAAAGGGAAGGCCCCACGCCCTCCCCAGCGAACCTTGATAATATCTCCGAAACGACCTTTTAATATATCTCATATAGCACTTTTATGAAAGAAACACTTTTGATGACCTTTTATTATTTGTTTTGGGAACATTATATGATTGGATTTATCACTGAAGTAGGCAAAAGTGATATAGCCGTCTGTTAAGTATATATGTAACTCGCTCGCGCGGTTTTACTCGATGCTCGGCTCCATTTAATTGTAGCGTGATCTTTTATAGCCTGTAACACTAAGGAACATTGTAGCTATCTATCAGTGAAAGAATTTTGGCAATCCGACCAGCGGTTCCAAAGATTACCCCCTACATACAAACTTACAAATTTTACCTCTTTATAATATTAGTATAGATACACAAGTGTGTGGAGCCAAGCTTCGGTACGCATGGGTCGGCTTGACCGGAGCGATACCATTGCCTTACAGAAAACCGGCGTGAAACTATCACTGTTGTGCTTCGTCGTATGAGTGAAGTTACCGGAGACCCACTCCTTTCCCTCCCTCGTTTTGAGGTTTCAGAGCTTTAGGGATCAGCAAAAAGGCCGTCAATGCACTCGTAACTCCTCTGGTATTGGGGATCTCCATGGGCGGCGCCGATTGCTTACCATCAGGTAATACGTCTGTTAGTTTGCCGACCTATCATTTTAAAAAATAAAATATTTATGTATCCCATTTCGAGATATAAGAATATGTAGGTAGTTATAAAATACTTACTGTTCTCTTAATTTGGGTATCATGTTTAATTCGTGTCATCTAGTTTCACCTCCATTAATCCTCCATTAATATATATTTGATGAAAAAATAATTGTTGGTTTAATTTCGATCGAATCAAATGAAACGAATATTGCTTCTAATATTAAAATCTTTATTATTTAGGACGAAAATTCCACATTAGAAGACCGTGCTATATACAGCTCTACGGCGGGGTTTCATTTCAATAAACATCTTAAACACTGCAATAACTGTATAAATTATCATAATTCCTATCAAACATGAATAACATTTATTAAAGCCAGTGAAATAAAAACAATTCCAGTGTCTAAACATTTTAATATAAGCCTGTTAATAATTCTTAGCGACGACCACAAAATAAGCCGTAATTTACATAAAACCTCTAATAAATATTTCATTAATAAATTAAACGTAGAATGTTTAAAATCTCTGTATTTATTTAGGAACATAAACTTGTTTAAAACGTACTTTAGGACATATTTGTTATTTAAACATAATTTAGTTTTCAAGTAACCTGCTAATAGAATACTTGTTTACTTTATCTGCGAATGAAAATAATTACCAAAACACGGGTGCACAACTCTGCAACACCTGCACAAAATTCAATTAAAAAACCTGTATAAATTAATGGCATCAAAAACAGTACAAGTACATCAATCAGGATATAATTTAATAATCGATTTAACAATAATAACATACCACAAAAGCTTTGGCATGGTAAGCATAAATTTGAAATAGTATTCGTTTTATTTATAATATTGAACATTTGCAGAATAGCTTGTGTAATATTTAAATAACCACAGCAATGTGACAACTTTAAATGGTCCAAAAACAATTCACAAGTGTAAAAATTAAGCAAAAGGGTTACTGGCCTGAGTTACTAACATGATACACAATGTATATGTTTACCTCGTCTGCCTAGGTTAGGAGTGACGCGCTATGTTATGTAAATCTGGCTGTGTATTTAAAATGAAAGAAGCAAAAACTAAAAAATTCTCCGCGTGTAAATCTGTTGTGTAATTTCCTACGTTTTTACCCTCAAATAATCACATTTGCAAACAATATTATAGGCCTACATTATTATAGATGATGTTTTTGTCCACCTCATGTCACACGCCTAACAAAGGTCATAAAAATATCACCATTAATATTTCTTATCACTGTCGAATAAAAACCAAAGCAATACTGTTTACTTTATCTACCAATCACAGCGTACTAAGCGTGGTCTTCTGCATCAAAACAAAGAAAGGTGTATCAGTTTGCTGCCCTTCAAAAATTATGTATAACAGAGTGTGCTTCCTTGAGGAACTCTTAAAATTAATCGCAATTGTTTTTTTTTTAATAAACTTAATTGTTTACAAACTCCACATTAGCTTACATTCTTGCCTATCGTCATATTTCTTTTTTAACCACTGGATAATCTTACGGTAGTTTACCAAGTTCATTTGTTCAGCTCTTATACGATGTTTCTTTGATCTTGTTACTGCTGCGTGAGAGAGAAATCCTCCATCGAGGACCACCATTCGGTATCGTTGTAGGCACATCTCCAACATCTAAATTTAAAAAACAGAAAATTCAATTTTTTTGTACAATAGAACTTAACCAGAGGTTAAAGCAAGAGGTTTAATAAGACATGTAGTCTACATGTAATGTAAACAAGAAAGAAAAATGGAACATTTGAGTCAAAAATTTCAGTTTTTTCGTTTACTTAAGTATTCAAAAAACATAATTGTGTCCTCACGACAGAGGTGATACCACGGCCTCACAGAAAACCGGTGGGAAATGACCACAGCGTTACATTTCATATTCTGAACGAGGTTAACGGAGGCCCAATCCATCCCTTCCCCAATCCTTAAATCACCGAAACACTATTTCCTAAAAAACCCGCAATGTACGACTCCTTTCGTGTGGGTGTATATGGGTGGTGCTGATTGCTTAACATCAGGTAATCCCTCGACTGTTGCGGTTTACTATCACATACTAAAAAAGATGTTAGTATGTATGACACATATTTGAAAGACAAATTCATTCAATAAAGTAACATAAATAATTTGGAAAAACACAAAGATTCCTATACTCTACTACACGATATCCTATACTTTAGCCGACCTAGATATAAAACCCGAAGTAACTACTACTCACAAAATAAGAAAATTTGAAACTCAAAATTAAGAAGGTTTTTTTTACTTAACCAAAAAGGGTCTTAACGGTTTAATGAAAAATCGTTGGGAAACCTTTCAAAAATCCATTAAGGGATGCTTTGGAGTCTCTAAAGTGTTACATTACCTGCGTCATTTTGTCCTGGAGGCCTTCCCAAGACAGAGACTCGCTGTACCAAGGCTCTTTGTTGGTGCCAAAGTAAAGAGGTTCCCATCTATGGTATGGATATTCCCGCTTTGCTATCAACATTGGCTGAAACCAATATTTTTACATTAGAACCAATTATGTGCGCATTTATTATACACGAATAGATTATGGTAAACGATCATTAGGATACACTTCTTATGCAGCAAGAATGTGGTTTGAAACCTGGCTTGTGCCATTGTGACTTTTTCCGAGTTACATATTATACTTTCTAATTAATTCCTAGTTATAAGTTTTAAATCACCAATCTATTTTGAACAAGACTGTTACTTAATGGCCTTCTCCATGTCAGAAGAGGTCTTTGCTCACCAGTGGGCACTTATAGGCTGATCATCTAGCCTAAATGATAAGCTTTTTGTAATCTATCTTAGATAAGTAAATTTCCATTCAAACTTTAAATATAAATGGACGATAAAATAGACAAAAGATGTATCCATCTTTCGTCTTCTAAATTGTATATTTCGTATAGAATAGAATCTTTTTTCGTACTTAAGAACCACTCATTACCTTGCACTGCTACCAGACAACAAACCATAAAAATAACTATCACACAGTAAAGTTAACAAGACCGTAAATGCACATCGACACAAGTTGAAAACTACTTTAGACACGGTCCCAATAACAGCTACAACTTGAAATTAGGACCTGCCCAGTTATAGCTGGCTGTTAGCGTTCTAATACGGTAAAGTGGCTCGGCTAGGATGCGAAGCTCTCGATAATTAGTTGGCAATTAGTAGGGGGCGAGCCATGAGACGGGCGAAGGCGAGAATTGGGTGGGGGGGAGGTAAATGTGTTAGAACTATGCCTGTCACTCGATAAGATTGTACCGCCGTGATTGGGAGCGTTAAATTAGTCGCAATCTCATTGGTACGAATTGGAATTTGATCGAGCGATGACTGTGGTCTGACAGCGTCTGCGGGATTTGAATTGAGATTCGACGCGGCATGTGTTGATTGACGTCCGGAGTGGGACTGGATGGAATCCGATGATGACTAAGACGTGTATTAGATTATTGAGATGCATAGAATATGGACTGGATTATTGATTGAGGTATGAACATTCAAGTATCGAATACTAAGTCTAGATCCTGTTGGTATAAGATAGATTGATTATTATTTATTTCTTTCGATTTTAGAAAGGGTATGAGCTCGATAATAGACAATAGGAAAATTTCCTAAACAAAATAAATATACGTCTTAAATCCTTATGACCCTTTAAGTGCCCACTGCTTAGCAAAGGCCTCTCCTCACACGGAGAAAGTTTGAGCGTTAATTACCACGCTTACTCAAGGTAGATAAGCGATTTGAACCTTATAATTCAAATCGCTTATCTTAAGACTTTAAGTGCCGGTTTCCTCACGATATTTTCCTTCACTTATGTCAGTGGTGTCTAAATAATCGTCATAGAAAGTAAATTTAGGTACCTCGGTAATGTCACGTTGGTACTACCCGAACCGCATGCAAGAGAAGCGGGTGCTTTAAACTCCGTGCCACCACGACGTCTTATATAATATTTATTAAACCTTCAAGATTAACGTACAAAAACTGATTCAATATAATTTCGACCAAAGGAAACATTACACAAATTTCTTAAACAACAACCTTTCGGGAGTAAGTTCCTTTCAACATAAAGGAGACAAGTCGCCATATTCCATTCATCAAAGTCAGTTGCCAAGCACGTGAATATCTTTAGGAACAAATAAGTGTCCATAACGAGACAAGCTCAGGGTCTGTCAGACTTCCGAGTCTGTGTGTGACACTTTTGTTTGAAATATTTTCGAATTATGGAAAACACCAGCGGTTTCCCCGCGGCTTATGGTGATAAAAAGCCAGCACTAATGTGTTAATCCAGGGTATTACCTATCTATAGAACATTAATCAAACCAGTACAGCCGTTTGTGCGTGAAAAAATGACAAACATATACTTAATAATATTTGTGGGGTTTTTCTTCCGTTACATTAAAGACAAAGGTCTTTCAAATATGTCAGAAAAATTAGCACCTTCTCTATCATCATCACCAGCCTATAAGTGCCTACTGCTGAGGGTCTCAACCTCACTCGAAGCCTACAAGACAAGTATCAATCACCACGCTTGCCCAAAGCTGATTGGCGATTTAAAACTCATAATCAGATACTATAAGTACCATAATTTTCTTTGCCATTTCGCAGTGCTATCTAAATAACCATATAACGTTTTGAACCCGCATCCATGCCTGATAAACTGACGGCTTAACATCCGGCCCACCGTGACAGATAGGCACATAAGAATCTACGAAATGTCTTCAAAAATATCTTGCCATGACTTAAGCATACTCAAATTTCTTTCATTCTTTCTTTCTCGACTAAAAGTTTCTACAATTTATTATAGCCATGTATAAGACAAGTAAAATATGTCCACATATAAAAACCGACACCTTTCAAACATACATACCTACATGTAAAAATTAATACACGAAAATATTAAGAAAACCGCCTACGTAAGTACTTTCTTAGGTAACCAAACCAATATGTTTATATCCATCATTCTAATGTAACTCGCGAAAGCAAATATGTATCTGTCGACTTAATGTGAATAAGAATCCATCAATGCCAGGTAAATAGGTTCTGACAGAGTATTACATTATCCGAAATACCTACCCAATTTCGTATTACTAAGTCTCAAATGTTTATAGACCTTACGATCTTTACGATTAGTTTGCATTTCATTAAACTGTTAGATGATCCTTATAACTTGGGCGAAGGCATGAACCTAATTGATCGAATTCCCTTAGTTAGCAACACTAATCACTTAAGCCGTTACTAAGCAACTAGTGTTGGTCCGAGACATCGCTCGTGTATAAAGTTTTGAGCGTATTATCAAGTGACAATGTTACCAAAGAGAGTCTATTTGCATAAGAAAACTTTTTATCCGCGCAAACTGTAGCAATAGCACAAAAAATAATAATAATTAAATCTATACTGAGAACTTATGTCCTCAATGATGTTAGCATCTACGATGTTGCTAAATATTATTAGCTATTTAACCAGGCAGTTTTTGCCTGCTATGACACTGTGATGATTCACAGATCAAACTACGATGATGTACTACCGCATCCTGGCTCCGAGTAGAAGAAAAAAAGAGAAGTTTTTATTGATAGGAATTCTAACTGTCTCTATCGCCGTCGGATGATTTTTCCCTCACACAAATAGGACTACCCTTTTTTATGATATTTCTATTGTATCACTTGATAATTAAAAAGCTTATGTCAACCATTTTGGTTAACGATAGAAATCGATTACAAATCACTTGTCTAGACAAAATTTTGAACTAAGTATTATAGTTGAATCAAAATTAATACATAAACAACAAAATGATTCTCAGTAATCTGAATGAGTGGATAGAATTGTGCTTACAACATATTATATTATTGGTAACATTGCGAGCTATTATTGATGAAGCCTAAACAATTAACTGTTTCAAATTAAGAGCGATTAATTCCGAGTAACGTTTAATTTCAACCAAAGGTAAATAACACTAAATTGGTGGAATGAATTGCGTTTATTCAATACTATTGCTATTGACTTGAATAATTGTTAATATTTCATTGAGATTCGATCAACTTATCGAATGGGTTAATACATATCTATACTAATCTATCCTTATAATATTATAAATGCAAAAGTAAATCTATCTGTCTATCTGTCCTTTCTTCACGCCTAAACTACTGAACGCGTTTCTGTGAAATTTGGTATAGACATAGTTTGGAACTCGAGAAAGGACATAGGATAGTTTCTATACCAAAAATCTGTAGGAAGTCAATATTCCACGCGAACGGAGTCGCGGGCAAAAGCTAGTTTATTAATATAAATGTTGTTACTTTAATCACTATTCTGTCTGTGTCGTTCTTCGAGCCCCAAAGTTGTTATTGTGACACTCAAGTCAAGTGTGGGAGAGTCAAGGTTCGGCACGAATGTGTTGGTCCGATCGGAATGACACCATGTCCTTACAGAAAACCCGGCTTGACTCAACCAAAGCGTCTAGAGGCCCAATCCCCCCCCCCCCCCCGCTCTATCAATCTAAATCCGTAAATATCCTCAACTCTTAGATATCCTCAAAAGGCCGACAACGCACTCGTAACTCCTTTGGTGTTGCGGGTGTCTCGGTAGAGCTTTGAATATGAGCGAGTAAAAACACAAAATGTATGTTTTTTCTGTGCATCACAATTGATTGTCTACTTAATAAATCACTTGCGATCCCTAAAACAGCGAGTCTGAATCAGATCAAATACGTACAAGTTTATACATATATACATATACGTTATATATATATTACGTTAGTTATACGTCTACTCATAAAAGTATACCTATTCTAATAAAATTTATGCTTACCTCAAGAACATTACGCGCAGGCCTTACTAACCAGGTCTGAAGTCCTGGGAACCGCTGGCAATGAGGGCAGATGTGCTGGTGGAAGTACGTAGCCCGATTCGTAAATATCATTTGTATCAACCTGGTAATACAAAAACATATGTTCAGCAATTAAATTTTTATTTATTTCTTAAGAACACAGATGTTTGTACGGTCAACTGCAGAGAAATGGACCCCCTTTTTTTCTTTTTTTGTCAGGGGAAAATCAGCTCAGCCCAAACAGGGCACTCCGACACCGTATGCTCCACCGTGTCCTCCTGGTGGTCCTCACAAGAGAAATGGACCCCCTGAAGTACAAATATGTATGCAGCTATCTGCATAGGGGGATCCTTTTCTCTGCAGGTGAGTGTACATAGGCGGACCTAATGCCGTTGCCATTATCTACCTTTATATTATATTCTACCTTTTCACAATAAAGATTTGGTGCATGCTAAGCTATTACAATATCAGTCACTAGTTTCTACCAGCAGCATCTCTCACGGCACGAGGGTAAAAGTTATCTATGTGTTATTCTATACTATCGTCTATATCTGTGCCAAGTTTCATACAAATAAGTTAAGTAGTTTTTACGTGAAAGAATAACAAACACACATCCAAACGCAAAAAACTTTTGCGTTTATAAAATTATTTGGATATTAAAGTAAAGATTATTCAGTAGCCCCACTACTGGATAATCTTTATAGCTAAATCTGTATAGTGCAGAAATTCGGGACCAAATCATTGACAAAACAAATATTCTGAGTTTAATGTAAAATAATTCGTAATAGCAACGTCGTCGTCATCTTTTACGGACAACTACTCGTACAAAAACGAAGAAACCTATAATTGCCCAAAAGCTAAAATTCTATAATGTACACCTACATCTATCGTCTAATAAGACGTACACAGTTTAAAAACGAAAAAAAAAGTATAAAAATTCACATACTTAATACATGTTTTAACAATCAATTAATTATTGAAATATTTGGTTTGCAAGGACCCCTCTCAGCGAAAGGCAAAGGCTTTATCCATAATGGCCAGTGTTATAAGCCTTTATTGCACGCAAATATTTACAACCACAACAAAACATTTCAAGTCATTCAAATAATAAAATAGAAACAGCAATAAAAACATTGAAATGTTTATTCGAAGATCATTTTACAACTGCATACACGACCACATCTGCCCTACGATAAAATTGAAATAAAGAAACAGTAAAAGTTTTGAAGACGTTCTCATCATAAAATGGAAGAAGACTCAGTGAGGTAATAATAAAAGAAATTTTTATTGGTAATAGGAAATAATTTGGTAAAATGGTTCCTTTATTTCCATTCTTGTTTACTGTTGACATGAAAAAGAAACTTGCTAAGAAGAGAAAATTGTCTTCAACGATTAAAAAGCGTTTTGATTTGAATTTCTCTCGTGGATTATGAAGAAAGTGAGCTGATCGATCATTGTTAGCGCTGACGATGGCCAATCGCAACAGAAGTGTAATCACAAATACGTTGCCAGCCTTTTAAAAAGGAATAAACACGAACTCAATTTTTTTCAACAAAGTTTGAGCAGCTGTATGCCTGTCACGGTGACGTCACATTTTCAGTTTTATCAATAACTGTGTTCTTAGGTTTGCATGATTGAAACCATAATAAACAATACATCTATCTTTTTTGGGGGGTCAAACAAATTATTGTAAAGCCTTATTGCGCTAGCCCCGCAACCCCGGCTGAACGCCTATTGAGCCACGTCTGTGATGGTCTATTGGCTCTTTCAGGTGCGATACGCTACGCGCCGTACGCTCGGGGTTTTTTTGCTTACCACTTGCCTTTGCCTACCACTTGGTAATCATTTTAATTACATTGAAAAACAATTCAACCGAAACATACAGCTAATCTATTTCACCAAAAAACAAAAAAAAAGAGTTATTTTATTTACTTTTACTAGTATAATTTCTAACTTAGTACTTTGATCATGTAGGTAACAAGTCTTAGTCGAATTCAGCTTAATGCCAGTATTTGAAAAAATCTGTATCATCCAAAATATATTTAGATCATATAACATCTAGTTCTGTATAAGACATTTCCCACAATATTGTTGTACACAGATCTCGGAATTATTTTTCTCTTTAGTTGTACGTGATCGGACCTAACGGTATTGAATTTCTCCTTTGTGAGGCATGATATAAATATTCTCTGATGTTAGAATATTTGCTTTATCTAAAGCTTCATTGTTGTAAATGTCCATATCCGAAAAATCTCAAATGTAGCGTTTCAATAGATGACATACTCCTTCCGAAACAAACGACATTGGATCGAAAAAAAAATGAAAAAGAAACTTTTGTTGACCACCTTAAACCATGTTTGATTTATTAAAACAAAATATTTTGTTCTAAAAGTAAAATTACGTAAATGCACCTTCTTAAACATATACTTTAGCATATTACAAAATATATCTACCATTAAAAGACTAAAAAGACACACACTCAAAGAAAAATAAAATATGATACAATAAGAAGCAACTACGGATGCGGTACTTATGTGTTTTGAAAGGTACGATACAGTGGCAAAGTAAATGTAACAAAAGCATAAAGCAAGTACCTGCATTTTATCTACTAGAGACTTGCACAATAGAACGCGGATTAACAAATAGCTAACGTATACTGGAGCGAAATGGAGTAAATAGCTCCAGCTCTTACAAAACTACTCAAAGGATGAAAGTTCAAAGTATTCAGTGACAAGAAAAGAGCGACCTTCTTGCGACAAAGACCACAACAATACCAACAAAAGGTACACAAGCACTAAGTACGCTTTCTGCATTTCTTTGTGTGGCGCACTAAGAACGACTATTTATCAACTTACTTTCTTTTGGTGTGAGGTATTTGCTCCCCTCTCTCCACTTCGAACAATGGCACCACAAACACTGTCTTCGGAAACACACAACCAGAATCCCTTTTCTCATCACCCATCAATTTTCTAATCATTTTCAAGAAATTTTTCGCCAAACCAATACTTGGCACCAATTCTATATCTGACACTAAGAAATAATTGGTCGTTGATGCATTTCTTGCAACATTCCTACCGACGTTAATTGGATATGTCATTAATTTTGCCTTTCTGTACGTTTCCACGTTTTCTGAACCTGAGCTAGAACAGTCTTCGAATTTTATAGTCGGCGGTTGGGGTCTAGTACCTGCAATCTTCATCGTCATGCGTTCAATTTTGTTCTTTCTCGCTTTCTGAATGTATTGTGCTCTAGTATTGTTATTCAAATTGTGGTAATTCTCCAATTTACGTCGCAGCAGTTCTGTAGTACTCAAATTGAACGTTTCCAATGTCGGCGTTGATACAGTAGTTAAAGACATCCGTATTTCCTTCAATGATCTCAACTTTGGTACTGCGCGTTTTGGGTAAAAGAAATGGACCGAAACTTTAGCCATTAACGGATAACAGTGACATAGATGGTTTAATATCTGCATAGCAATATCTAAGTCATATTTAGGTGTGTACACGGCGAGGCTAATGGGACCATCCCAAAACTTCGCTATTTCCACGACATGGTACAGGAATTCTGGTGTCGCCTGAGTGACATACGTCACTGCATCAACATGGCTGACGTTTAAATACAGGATACTTTGAATGGCGTTATATATGACTCTATAGTTACTCCTGCTTCCAGTTTCTGGGGACGGCAATACTTTGAATTTGCCCCATTTGAGACGATTAGGAAGGCCATAGTTGAAGAGACAGTAACTTAAGTTTCCGGGCTGTCGACCTCGCAAGAAGGCGCCTGGACTATAGTTAAAGTCACCGACACTGCGAGGTGGGTGTGGGTGCTCGTGGTGTCTGTATGCGTACAGCTGCAGGATTATAGTAACACTGAGTGTGAAGAAAATTCCGAGAAATATTGTCGAGTGTTTCCTTGTCAACCTGAAGGAGTAGGCTCCAAATATCCGCAGGCATCTCGACATGTTTATCTATCATCGTTTTTAGTTATAATGACCTTCCGTTAACCATTTCTCTTGTTTTATCACTCTGATTGATTCACTAAATACACAAACACTCTGCCTTGTACAATTTTATCTCATGTTGTGAACTAAGAATTTTTGTAAACAACACAAAAGACAGTGACATGAAATTACAAGGACTGCGGTAAACTTCCGTACTCAAAGAAATTTCTTTCAAACTTCACGACATGCTAGAATTTAGACGATTAGATAAAAAAACACTGTATATGCTATTTAATTAGTTCATGGAATTCCTTGTATTTGTCATAATTTATATGTTATTTTCACATCAAATTGGCGATCACTTCAGCAGTAGGTAATGTCAGTTTGACAGTTGGTGCGCGCGCCGGTCGCTGACAGCGTGCGCAACGGGGAAATCAATATTCCCGCCATACCGCTACAAATGCGTTCCCTGTTACCAAAAAGATTTGTTATTTTTATTACATTCTTACTTCATTTTATTTGGCTGATCATAATAAAATTTTCAAAATAATAATACAAATATTTTTTATTTTATGATAAGATATTTTTCGGGATTAATTTCAGTTATTTATTTTAAGGCCACTTTTGCGAAACTAAATGGGTTGCCAAAGAAAATTGACTGATTTTCTTCGTTTCCTCACCCTCACACAAATGTTTGCTCGTTATTTCCTCGTATCCCCCATACAGTTGTCGTATTTAAATCAATGCTCCTTTGCATATTCTATTTTTAGATTGTCGTGGCAGAAAGTTTAACATGCACACATACTTACGCGTACACGAAGGAGAATGAAATTTATGAACCAATGTTGATTGGTTATTTACGAAGGAGTTTTAAATCAAAATGTTTAAAAAATAATGTCTGAATAGAAACTATGTTCCAGATAAATTGGAATAACGAATGCAATTCGAATGAACCATAGGTTAATCGGATACATCATATATGGATACACTGGTAAAATGAGGTCTAGCATAATATAGGGCCTGTTTCTGTTGTTGTTACTCGGTGTCCTCTCGTCTTACAAGGTTACACATCGCACTTCAAAAGATACAGGTTTATTAAAGAGCTTGGTGATCAAGCAACACTCGCAAGAAGATTAGGACACTCGCAAGAACAAGCGTGTTCCACTCTGCCACAACCTCACGGCAAATTGCGGTTCTGTTTAGTCCAGAGAAAGTTCTAGAAATTGTTATAGCGGCTCCGGCTACCGATCTGAGTGACAGACCACATGACATGAACTCAATTTAACTTTGTTTCTTCCATGTTCACGGGGTAAGTTAATATGGACACAGCTTTATGAATATATTACGGAACTTTGATATGCTAAGGTAACTTTGAATAAGAAGTGTTTCTTGTTGGGTTAGCCTTGTCTAATGTAGTTCTCAAGAAGGTATAAAATACTGGCTTTCGACTTCGGATAGTAAATGTTGTGGTGGCCCGGAGGTGAAGTCATCCGCTTCTCATGAATGAGGGCGAAACCTGGCTATTATCAATGTATTAAAACGATTCCCCACACTGGGATTTTCTCCTGTGTCGTGGGTGCGGTTACAAACATACAATTTCACATACACATGACACCCAGACCCGGAACAACAATTCGTGGATCACACTAAGTGTTGTTCCGTGCGGGAATCGAACCCGCGACACGTTGCACGGCATCCAGTTGCCCAGCCACCGCACCAACCGTGCAGTCAAAATATGAATGTTACTTTTCCCCAGTTAAATAAACTGTCTAAGTTTATTTACAAATACGGTGAAGGAAAACATCGCGAGAAAACCAGTACTTTTTTCTAATCGCAAGTTTGAAATCTTAATGCGCCTTAAGCATGACCTTTTCCCTCTGAGAAGAGGCCTCTGCTACGCAGTGGGCACTTATAGGCTGGTAATGAGATGTGGTATGGCAGTGGATTCTGATTTTCAGATTACTTTCTATTAACTAAGTATATATTCAACTATGTATTAAATTTTTTTGTGCAATATTTATTTTAACATGTTCACCCATTTAGCTAATAAATGGTAGATCCACACTATTATTCCGTTCTCACTAGCGGCTATTCGATAGCCAAAATACGAATTAGATGCAGTATTTTACCAGGATAAAATTATTAGCTGATTGGTTTTGACTTAAATTGCCTTTATGCCTAAAAATATTTTTTATAATATTTTTAATTTTTTACTTTATAGCCATTTTTAAGATAGGAATGGAACGACATTTGTATCCATTGAAGATTTTGCCTATTAATAACTCTTTTGGTATTTCAAAAACTGAGTTTAAGTATTATTACCTAAATAGATATTGAGACATTTATCAACACAATATATATCACATGATTAATACAACAAAATCTAAAACAATTCCAAACTTCTCAAAGGGAATGAAAATGTTTAAATTACCTAAAATACCTTTACCAACCCCTCAACCCTCGACAATCGATAAAGGCGAAATTTATAAAACGGTGAAAGAAGTATTTTTCTCTTTAAAAACAAAAAGAACAGCCCAGCTATAGATTTTAATTATACCCTCGAACAAAGATCGCAAAATTGGGCGTAAGTACTCTGTGTAATTGCATTCAACTTTTAATGAGAAGTTACGTGTTTCGAAACTGAAAACACGCTACCAGTATTTGGAACTAATTTTGCTAAAGCCTCAGTTGAATCCCAGAAAACATGAAGAACGCACTGGGAGACAAATTCAAACTGAATATTTCTGTTAAACCTTTGTATAGAAAGTTAAGAAGTAATAATAAAATTAAACCAAATAAAGTTATTATTGATCGCAGCTTACAACTAGATGGCCACGGAATTAAAATTAATAGGAAAGTAATGAATGATACAAATGGTGTGTCATGTAGAAAAGAATATCGTTATAAAAGACATAGAATTTCTAGTGGATGGAGTGAAGATAGAAATAGGTTGTGTGATGCAAAAGTTTGTAATGGTTTTAGTGATTCCCGTAATATGTTAAGTGCTGTAGAAAATAGGAAGCTTAAAAGTGAAGTTAAAGACATTGAAGGTAGACGTAATAAATCGGTCCAAACTGAAGATAAATTTGTTGTTGTACAGAAAGTAAGTAATTTTTTTCTAGTGAATGTCTCTAGCATTCTTAACAATGTACCTTGACTCTCACTTAGTGGTTTTTGTATTAAGAAGCATTTTAACACTTCAATATACTCAATAATTATTACATGTCGTAGTCATCATCATTATGATCAGCCTATAGGTGCCCATAGTTTAGTAAAGGCCTCTTCTCTCGAGAAAGTTTGATCAATCGTGAAAGCGTGGCTTTCTCAACACGGGTTGGCAATTTCCCGCTTATTATTAAGCAATTATAAGTTCAGGTTTCCTCACGATGTTTTCCTTCACTGTTTGTAAGAAGGGACTTATGTTATAAACTCGGAAATGACAGATTATTATTTGAAGGGAAACCTTAACCTCTAAGCCACAAAACTTATTTTTGAATATTTAATATATTTGTTCAACTTTACTTATTTTCCTATATACTACTCGTATACTCCTACTTAGCAACATTAACTATTACCCTTAATAAGAATATTCTACTTACTTCCAAGTAAGAATATCAATCAAGAAAGTAATATAAGTTTTATATAGTTGCGTCTCTCTTCTATATTTTAACGAAATTCCTGTGAAATATTTCACGAGGCTACAACGTTACGTATTCACGCTTCGTGTTAACTAAATTTTCCTAGAATTTTCTTAACAGCATACTTCATAGCAAGCACATAATTGAAATATATTTTCATTTTCACCTACAGCTAGGAAGGAATGTGTGGAAATAGCTCTCTAGTTTAACATTTCGCATTTTTTGGGTAAAATGGTAGCAGTGTGGGAGAGACATGAATGGGCCAGCTCGATCAGACTGATACGAGTAAGAGATTGTATTTAATCTATGATAAATAGAGATACCCCTACATTACATCACCCGGATTCTATCCACTGCCCCCAATTGCACGCCACTGAGCTCTTCAGCTCTTCTCACTCGACCGCTGCCAGCCACCCTGCGTGTATCGTTAGTTCATACAGCTGGAGAGCGCCCTACACTACATTTACCTAGACGTGGTCTCCATTCTAGAACACATACTACATCCTCATATCAATATCAGTAATATTGAAAAGCTGCATTTTTTGTGGATTAAAAGGCATGACGTAGTCTTGTTATACTAAAAATATTATAGGACTTTGACATGGACTTGGAATGTCATATGACGTCACGACTCAGTACTCGTTTATCTTCATACTTCACTGTGACGTCATGCACCCAGCCCTTAACTTGAATGCGAATTATCTAAGTACCTTCGAAATATTGGTGTGAATTATTGACATCTTGTGAGTAATGAAAAACTTATTCCAATGCAGTCATTGTTTTTATGTGAACGAGCATACGTATTACCTGATGGTAAGCAATCAGCATCGGTCATGGATACACGCGAGCAGTTACGAGTGCATTGTTGACCTTTTGGGGACTAAGGAATTGGGGAAGGGAAAGGATTTGGCTTCCGTTAACCTCCCTCACACGGCAAAACACAACGCTGTAGTTGCTTCACGCTGGTTCTCGGTGTGATCACTCCGGTCGACCCGACAAATTCGTGCCGAAGCATGGCTCACCCACACACATTATTGGGGTGCATGCCAGAAGACCTCCCCGTGGTGCACCCTGGGTGCGGGCGACAGTCTCCCTAACGGGATGGCGACAGGGTTGGACTGACTGTCGCCCGCAGCGAACTTCTGGCCGGGCGGAGAACCCGGTCGGGTTCTAGAGGCGACCGGCTCTATGCTGGCATAGGGTCCACGCCTCCGTGGGGGCGTTCCTCTGCACGACTCTCTGGACCTAGCAGAGAGCGGGGCGGAGAAACAAGGGCGGCGCTCGTTGTGCACTCACCCTGCCAATGAGTAGCATCGGGGCACTAGCTGCGCCCGACTGCACCCGTCGATATCGTAATCCGGGAAGAGATCATGGTCATGTTTTATGACTCGGACCGGGACGAGGGTTTTGGCTTAACCGCCCGGACCGCGAGGAAGATAACCTCTATAAAAAATTCCTCCAATACTAAGTTCTGGTGCGCGGCGAGGGTATGTATGGCTGAGGAGTAGAATCAGTCGTGAGCGCACCCCCAGCTAGGGGACCGGTGGACCCCCTAGTTGGGAGACAAATGCACACTTACCCAGGGACAGGGGGCTCTCCCTGGGCGGACCTCTTATTTCCCCCATACTCGTGGGACTTCAATGGAGATACCTAAAAACAAAAACCAAAATAAAAATCCACCTAACGGTGAGGAGGACGCAAGCGAGGTCAGCTCGCTTGCGAATATAACCGAGGCGCTAGATGCATCGTATGCACGTGCCTCTAGCAGGAAGGAGTCAGACTCAGAGTCCGACTCATCATTGTCTGGCGTCAGCATCGCGCTGCGCCACAAGAAAGACCGGGGCGTTTTTAAACGTCCCAGGTTGGAGCCGTCTTCCAACGAGCAGGAGGCCCCAGCCCCCAAAATCCCCACGGCTGCGCGGGGTAGGGGCAAGGGGAAGGGCTCCACAAGGGCGGCTGGGAGCCGATCCGAGCCGGCAGAGCGGCTGGCAGCGGAGGGGAGCGCCCTGGGAAAGGCTGCCCCCTCGGACTCCTCGGAGATGGAGGCCTCCGGTGGTGAGGGTTCTGTAGGCGGCGCTGAGAGCCTCCGCCTACAAGTAAAGGAAGCACTCCGCATGCTGGCTGGGCAGAAAACCCAGGCTGGCAGAAATGGAGTGCTTAAACACGCGGAAGCCGCTATTATGTCGGCGGTATCCCAGCCGGGCTCAGCTGAGCGGCAGATGGCCGCTATGCAAAAAGAGCTGGCTGGAATGCGGCGGGAGCTATCCCGCTTGGTGGCTGCCAATACTGCCCTGGAGGCTGAGCTTCGGGCAGCAAAAACAGAGCTCGCCGCAGCTCGGGGAGTCCGATCCCAACCTGCGCAGCCAGCGGAGGCCGACCTTCTCGGCCTTATGCGGCGGGAGATGGCCGCCTTCCAGCAGCGTTTCGACGTGCTGGAGGGTAGGCTCCTGCGACCTCCACTCGCAGCCGGGTCGTATGCTGCCGCAGCGGCTAAGCCCAAGCCGCCAACCAGCCGTGGGGCACAAGCCAGCGCACCGGCGAAGAAGGGGGCGAAAGCGCCGCCAGCCTTGCCACCGACGAGAGCGCCCGAGTCTCCCTCGGCGCTGGCTCCTGCGCCGATGAGCCGCAGACGAAGAGGAGCAGCGGCTGGAGCCCCAGCCGCATCGGCACCTACTCCGCCGTCTGAGTCGCGTGCTGGCAGCGAGTGGCAAGTGGCGGGGGAGGTGAGGAAGGTCGCCAAGGAGAGGAGGAAGCTCCGGAAGAAGGAGCAGCGGCAGCGGCGACAGCAGCGGCGCAAGGAGAAGCGCGCTGCGGCAATGCTCCTCGCCCCAAAATCTTCGGCTGTAGTTATCACACTACAGCCGGACGCGGCGAAAAAGGGGGTGACGTATGGCGAGGTCCTCGCCAAACTGAAGGGGGCGGTAACTCCCGCGGAGTTTGGGGCACCCGACGGGTTCGCAGTGAGGGTCACTGCCACTGGAGCCCGTCTCTTGGAGGTCCCCGGCGCGGCCAGCGGCCCGTCCGCTGACGCCCTTGCCGAGAGGCTCAGGGCGTGCATTGCGGCGGACGAAGCTCGCGTGTCCAGGCCCACCAAATGCCTGGAGCTACGCATCATGGGCCTGGACGACTCCGTGACGGAGAATGAGGTGGCGGCCGCTGTCGCCAGGACGGGGGTGCCCTGCTGACCAGGTGAAGGCAGGCACTATCCGCCCGGACAATACGGGGCTGCGGACTGTGGTAGTCAGCTGCCCCGTCACAGCGGCCAAAAAGCTGGCAGAGGGTAAAAGGCTCCTGGTGGGCTGGGTTTCGGCGCAGGTGAAGCTCCTGGAACCCCGACCTTTGAGGTGTTTCCGCTGCCTCGTGGGTCACCACGTGGGTGCCAAGTGCACCTCAGAGGTGGACCGCAGCGACCGCTGCTTCCGCTGCGGTCAGCCCGGTCACAGGGCCGGCGCTTGTACCGCCCCGCCGCACTGCGTAGTATGTGCGGCGGCTGGCAAACCGGCTGATCACCGGGTTGGGGGCAAAACCTGCTCCCCCCCCACCAAACCCAGGAGCAAAGGTAGGCCCGTAGCCACCTCCACCGCTCCCACCGTCGCTCCCGCTGCCGCCGCAGTCGCCAACACCCCTGCGACTGCTGCTGTCGCCGCTGCCGTCAGAGAGGAGGTCGTGATGGATACCCAATAATGGCTCCATTACGCCTCCTCCAGGCGAACATCAACCACTGCGTCGCTGCTCAGGATCTCCTGCTCCAGAGCATGGCGCAGTGGTCGATCAATGTTGCTGTGGTCTCCGAGCCGTACTTCGTTCCAGCCAGGGAACACTGGGTGTCAGACCTGGACGGCTCGGTGACCATCATCTCGTCGGCCGCCGCCGGTACCCCAACCCCCGAAGGGCCTCAGCGAGGCAGGGGTTGCGTCGCGGCTCGGTTCGGAGAGATCGCCGTGGTGGGCGTGTACTTCTCTCCGAACCGAACTCTCGTCGAGTTCCACAACTCCCTCAGGGAGTTAGTCACCGTCGTCGTCGGGTTCCGTCCCCTCCCCGTGTTGGTCCTCGGGGACTTCAATGCCAAGAATTTGGCTTGGGGTTCCCGGCTCACTGATGTCCGGGGAAGGATGGTCGAAGACTGGGCTCTGGAGACAGGCCTAGTCGTGCTGAACCGGGGTTCTGTCCCCACGTGCGTACGGATGCGGGGCGAGTCAGTGGTGGACATTTCGTTTGCTAGCCCCGCTCTGTCATCGCGCGTTGTTGACTGGCGCGTCATGGAGGAGGTGGAGACGTTTTCGGACCACCGGTATATACGGTTCGACGTCTCCGCCGAGTCCGCAGACCCGCCAGTCAGACAGGCCCCGTGTGGCCCGCGTTGGGCGCTTAGGCAACTGGACCGGGAGCTTTTCCTGGAAGCCGCAGTCGTGCAGGCCTGGGTGATACCACCGGTCAGGCCAGCCGACATTAACGAGGAGGCGAGATGGCTCCAGGACGCCATGTCAAGGATGTGCGACGTGGCGATGCCCCGGATCCGACCGTGCCAACGCAAGCGCCAGGTGTATTGGTGGTCGCAGGAATTGGCAGACCTGCGCGGTGAGTGCACCGCAGCGCGACGCCGATACACCAGGCACCGCAGGCTCCGTCTCCGCCCTCTGGACGCTGAAACCAGAGAGGCGGAGCTATACGAGGAGTACAGGGCGGCGAAGGCCACCCTCAGGGTGGAGATCCGGCGGGCCAAAGATCGGGCCCGCGAGGAGATGTTGGAGACTCTGAACAGAGACCCGTGGGGACGCCCCTACCGGATGGTGCGTGATAAGCTCCGCACCTGGGCGCCCCCACTGATTCAGAGTCTCCGGCCGGAGGTCGTGGACGAAGTGGTTGGGGCGCTATTCCCCCGACCACAGATGGGTTACACGCCTCCGGCTATGCCCCCGCCCCCTGCGGTGCCCAATGCGGGCTACATCGACGACGACGACGAATCCGCTCCGGAAGTGACCGAGGTAGATTTGAGAGTGGCGGTGCGCCGGCTGAGCGGCAAGAATACCGCCCCAGGACCTGACGGGCTGCATGCCAAGGTCTGGGTCCTGGCCTCGGAGGCTCTCAGGCCTCGACTACTTGGTCTGTTCAGCGCATGTTTGGAGAGAGGCCAGTTTCCGCTGTCGTGGAAGACGGGTAAACTGGTCCTCGTGAAGAAGCCGGGGCGTCCTGCGGACTCTCCGTCCGCGTACCGGCCCATTGTGCTGCTCGACGAGGTGGGAAAGCTGTTCGAGAGGATAATCTCAGACCGCCTCGTCGGGCACCTGTCTGGAAGGGGGCCGGATTTAGCGGACGGCCAGTTCGGCTTCCGCAGAGGGCGCTCCACGGTGGACGCCATCATGCGCGTGAGGGACCTCACGACGGGGACAGCGTTGGCCGGGAGGCGAGTCGTCGTGGCGGTGTCTCTGGACATCGCCAACGCCTTTAACTCGCTGCCCTGGAGCTGCATTTTGGAGGCACTCCGGTATCACCGGGTGCCTGCCTATCTCCGTCGTGTAGTCGAGGCTTACTTGACGGACAGATGCGTCATCTACCCCGGTCACCGGGGCGTGTGGAATCGGCGAGAGGTGTCGCGCGGTGTCCCACAGGGATCGGTCCTGGGACCTCTCCTGTGGAACATCGGGTACGATTGGGTGCTACGCACCGACCTCCCGAGCGGCGTCAGCATTGTCTGCTATGCTGACGACACGCTGGTGCTGGCGAACGGGAGGTCGCATCAGGCGGCGGCCGACCTGATGTCACAAGCGGTTGCGACAGTCGTTGCAAGGATCCGGCAGTTGGGACTCGAGGTGGCGCTCCACAAGTCCGAGGCCATGTGCTTCTATGGCCGTCGGAGCGCGCCACCTCCAGGTGGGTCCCAAGTAACGGCAGGAGGAGTTACCATCGGCGTCGAGTCGGCGATGAAGTACCTTGGTCTCGTCCTCGACAGCCGATGGAACTTCACGGAGCATTTTCGTCGTTTGGCCCCTAAGTTGGAACGGTCTGGGGCCGCGCTCAAGCGGCTCCTTCCCAACCTCGGGGGGCCAAACGCCTCCTGCCGGAGGTTGTATATGGGGATTGTGCGATCCATGGCCCTCTACGGTGCCCCTGTGTGGGCGCCGGACTTGAAGCGGCGGCCGGCTCGTACGCTGGTCGCGTCCCAGAGGGTCATGGCTATACGAGTAATCCGCGGGTATCGCACGATCTCCGGGGAGGCGGCGAACCTCCTTGCCGGATCACCGCCGTGGGATCTAGAAGCGAAGGCGCTCGCGCGCGTCTACAGTTTGCGCGCAGACGCGCGTCGCCGGGGCGAAGATCCTCTGCCGCGCCAAATAAATGCGTGGCGGAATGAGCTCCGGCGAGATCTCATGGCAGAGTGGAGACAACGACTGTCGCAACCGAGGGCCGGGCACGCTACCATAGCAGCGGTAAGACCCCTCTTTGAGGAGTGGCTTGAGAGACGCCACGGCGTCCTCACCTTCCGTCTGACGCAGGTGCTTACCGGGCACGGCAGCTTCGGTAGGTTCCTGTTTCGGATTCAGCGGGAGGAAACGCCCGAGTGTCGTCATTGTGAGGACCACCTAGAGGATACGGTGGAGCATACGGTAGCGGTATGCCCTGCCTGGGCTGAGCACCGCCGTATCCTCAGGGAAGTGATCGGCGGCGGCGACCTCTCGCGCCCGGCTTTAGTCGAGGCCATGGTGCGGAGTGAGAGGAACTGGGACGCCGTCTCCTCCTTTTGTGAAGCGGTCATGCTCGCAAAGAGAGAGGCGGCCCGCGTGAGGGAGCAATCCTCCTCCTCACGCCCCAGCAGCCGCAACTGGCGACACTACGGGCGTCGGGGATCGAGGGACGATCTCCGGCCACCGTAAGTACGGGCCTGCGGTCGGCGAGTAAGGGCAGCTCGCCGCCCGACCAGAACCAGGCCCGAGCGTACGGCGCGTAGCGTTCCGCGCGCGCCTCAAAGAGCCAATAGACCACCACAGACGGGGCCCTAAAGGGCTGATGTTCAGCCGGGGCTGCGGGGTAAGCGCAATAAGGTACCGCGACCTCGGCACAGAGCAGGAGAAGGAACAGGGGGGTTTTTAGTCAGTAAGAGTCTGACACTCCCTCCTGCCCGGCCCTGGGCGGGAGAAGTCATTTGATGATTTTCCCCTCACAAAAAAAAAAAAAAAACCCACACACATTATATTACATGTGTAAAAGGCAAATAAATATTCAGCTTCGTACTTAAATGTGTTGATAAAAAAATAATAAGAACATTTAGAGAGTTTTCGATCAAGCATTCCAGTGAGCATTCATAACATAACCGAAAGCTTCGAATTTTCTGCAAAATTTAGCAAAAATTTTGTACTGCTCATGAAAATTCCCTCGATTTTTGGCTCCGTCCGTTGTTCAGATCGGCAAATTTTAAAATGGTGAATTTTCAATATTATGCGAATGCCTCTGGTCTCTCAGCACCTTTTAGTTTGGCAAAGAAATATATATTTATGTATATTCTGTCCATCAAACTCATCCATCAAAAGATAGAGCTAGACAAAGGCCTTCAAAATATACCACAATGTTATACACGTGTGCAAATAACTATTTATAATATGATGATTTTTATGAAGAACAACACAACATTTTCATCATCATATAAGTGTGCACTGCTGAGCAAAGCCCTCTTGTCACACGGAGAAAGTTTGAGCATTAATAACCACTTTTGCTCAAGGTGGATTGGGCATTTTAAACATATAATTAGTAATTATAAGTCCTAGTTTCCTCAAGATGTTTCCTACATCGTATATCGGTGATTTCTAAATAGACTCAGAAAGTACACACATACATGTAAAACGGAAAAAGTCACATAGGTAATTCACAGGTTTTGATTTGAAGTCAACATTCGGGCTACAGAAAGGAAAAAAAACACAACTGGTTTTATTTTTTTATCTACCTATTTATTGAATAGAACGATACAAAAGCAATTACATACACTACTGAAGCTAACAATATCGATTTCCTTCCTTCACAGTTAGAGGCAAGTTACCTAATCCCAATTGGATACGATAGCTTTAGCCAAAACAATTTCCATTAAGCCTGCTTTTGTTGTAGGTAGGGAATGCATGGTTGAGATTGTACCCGCTACCCAAACTCCCTGAGGAGTCCGTTACCTCCGTGATCCTTCGCTGTGCTCTCTGCCAACTTGGACTATGCAGTATGCTGGTGATATGGACCGTTGTATGGGTTTTCGTCATTCATTCTTTTGAAGGTAATTCTTAAACTTCCACTTTTTATTTTCATGTATGCATGTGCACAGTCGATCGAATGATTTATTGGTTTCACATTCCGTTTGTTGAAGGACTGAAGGCCTACCATGACGTGTTAAAGATTAAATCTTCCGGGAGAGAAAGAGGGATGTAGCTATAAAAAGTGTATAGCTCTATCCTTCTTTCTCGCCCGGAAGACTGCTGATCTGTCTCGAATAGAATTTTAGGAGTTTAATGAAATGAATCCGCAAAACATTCTAAATTTAAAAACATGACAACGGAACAGTCCTTATCGCTTTACTTGTCCTTCTTAAGAATAAGACAACGTTTACAATACAAGTTGCTTTTTTCAGGTCCATATGAAATAAAAGCGTCCAAGGATTTCGATAAAGAGCAGAATTTCCTCGTTATAAAACTTGCTACGGAACTAAGACAGGTAAGTGCTTTTGAACGAGTTTAAAAATAGAATATAAATGAAAAATAATATAAATGAATTTAAAAAAGAATATAAATGATTATTAGATATAGCTTTATTTACCTATTTGTGACTAACGTGTGTTTACGTTTCGAATGATTTAATTTTAACAGGGCTTTTTTATAACTAAATACAATTTGGGCGTGCTAATCTCTGGAACTACTGGCCTGAATAGAATATTTTTTTGGGTTGGATAGTCCTTCTGTCGTAGGAAGGATATCAGTCAATAGCCGGAGAGCGGGAGAGTACCTAGTTATCTAATTTAAAAAGCGATTTCGGGTTATATGCTAGTAAAGAAAATTACTATTACTTGCTCCTAGTAAAAGAATGCCTTGGATTTCGTTACCGCTTGCACCTTGGTAGAGTATAACAATAACTCACAAATTCGATGATCAGAACTTTTTTGTAATTTCCAACAACAATGTTCTCAATCGAACGAATAAAAAATACCAATTTTATTTAATTTTGATAATTCATCATCAATATCATCAGCGTGTCCAATTCTGAGCAAAGATTTTCTCAAAAGGAGGTTTCAGCATTAATCAAGGCAAGCTGAAGGCGGATCGGCGATTTTAAATTTATAATTACAAAATTATAAGTCCAATTTTCCTCACGAGGTTTTTCACCGTATGTCAGTGGTGTCTGAACAATCATAGAAAGTTCACATAACTCGGAAAAAGTCACTTCGGTACTTGCCAGGTTTCTTACCGAATTTTGATAATTGCCTCTATCTAGTAAAATAATCCCAAGTACAAATACAAAATTCTTTATTGTGGTACATAAATAAGCAAATAGGTGTTTCACGTCTCAAAGATTATACACAACTATGACCCGTCTTAATGGCATACAATAATTTTTAAGTATGTCTGTGACATTTATATATTGTGTGGAGTGATACCACGGCCTCACAGAAAACCGGCGTGAAACAACCACAACGTTGTGTTTCGCCGTGTGAGTGAGGTTACCGGAGGCCCAATCCTTCCCCTACCCCAATCCCTTCCCAATCCCCAAATCCCCAAAATCCCAATCCTTAAAAGGTCGGCAACGCACTCGTAACTCCTTCTTTGTTGCGGGTGTCCATGGGCGACGCCGATTGCTTACTATCAGGTAATCCGTCTGCTCGTTTGTCGTCCTATCACATAAATATATATATATTGTGACGGAAAAGTGGTTCAAACTCTTTGACATCATGACGCCAATGGATGGTTGTCAAACGTTGCCTAGAGATTGTAAATTTCGTCGTGAATTGTCAACACGAGTTGGTGTAATCGGTAAGGCGTGTGGATTACACCACAGAGACCCCGAGTTCGAGTCCCGCCGTAAGCATGAAGTTTTTTAGTTGATGGAAGTTTTGTCGAACTTTCTGGAATTATTTTTGTGAAAGAAATGAAAAATTAAAGAGCGAGAAGGAGAATAAATAAAAATGAATAACGAAATTATTGGAAGGTTCTGGAGGCATGACGATCAAAAAGAATAACGAAATTGAATGTTCCAGAACCTGACCGGGGGTATATAAGCGGAACTGCGGCTCACCGCTGGCAGTTGAGTTCTAAGTCTAAAGCGATTCGGAAGAAAAGGAAGAAGTGTAAAAGAAGAAAAGTGAGTGAAATAGTGAAGTGCAGTGAAATAGTGAAGTGCAGTCAGTTAAGTGAGTTAAGTCAGCGTGAACGGCAAAGTTGTGTCAGTCGGCCGGACTCTGCTGGAGAGGAACGCCGATAACTTAACTCCGTGGACGCTGTAACTAAAGTGCAATAGAAAGTCTGAAAACCGGTATTAGTGTTTCATTTCATCCAATCCCGTAACCCAAGCCCGCATAGTCAGGAACGTGACGTCAGGCACGTAACAATATATATAAACATAGCACAATCAAATGATATACCTATATTTAAGCCAAATCAAAACAGACCAATACTCCTTACTAGCCTTATATAAAAAATAAACACAAAAAAATACCTTAATAATGTTAGTAAGATAAAGTTTAAATTCTGAACTTTTCCAGTTTTGTAGGACGCATAGCGTCTCCATAAACTAACTTAATAGTTCAGCAAGCTATTTCAACGTTGCTCTTTCAAGAAATTAAATAATCGCACAAGGTATTCGCCATCTTTGTATATGAAAAACTTTTGAGAAGGTCTAGTCTGAACCGACGGTTCACGACGTTTATTTTTTTATGGAATAGAATGCTACTGAGCAAAGGGTTAATTTAATGTAATGATAAATGATCATGGCCACACACAGGTCGCAGGCGCGTTGCCGGCCTTTTACGAACGATTGCGGTCGTTAGTGACGTCAAGAAATAAACAAATTGCAACAATTATTTCAGAACAAAAAGTTCTTCATTTATATTGACATACTTTGTTATTTTTAAGAGCTGATTATAAATATATTAGGTTGAAGATATAAACATAGACTAATGTTCTTATTCTTGCTTTATGTTTGTTTAGTCCACATTTATGTATTTATGCGTATTTTACTACCTAAACTCGAATAAGAATAAAAACGTGGGATTGCTTTGCTAATCTTTCGGTACGAACGATTCCAATCCGAACCTTCTCCCCTTACTCTATCCCCGAACCCCAAATCCTCAATCTTTAGTTATGACAAAATGTTTGGCACCTGCAATGTGTGTCAACCTGATCCTGATTTTTGACAATATTTTACAAAGAGCAACAAAACAAAGCATCATTTAAAAATATATATATTGAATAGTAACTGAATATTTGAAGTTGATTTTCTGCGTTTATTTTTGATACGTGTATAACCGAAAGGCAACAAAATGTCTTGGAATTGCCGTTAGTTAATTTTATGCAACGCCGACTTGCCCGAGATGAAGGTTGCATAAAACCGAGTTAAATAAATTGTTACATAATGTATGTATGTACCTACAAGTACCGTACTTAAAACTTTATTTTCATTAGTTTTAAAGTAAGCATAAGTAAGAACTTAGCGTATAAGAGCTTCCGTGGTTGCGGGTCTGTAATGTATCGGGGCCTCGACCTGGATCTGGAAAAAGAACCTGTTCTGTGGCTTACAGAGAATATACAGGGCGAGAATAGGAAGCCAAAGATTTTATGCCCTCAAAAAAACTGCTTAATACATTTATTGTATGGGCACCACCTACAGAGTCATGCCTTTTTACTTCATTTCATATGGGAAGGCTACTATATGTAACTATATGTACTATATGTGAACTCTGTGGTACCAAAACGTAGCATAGCCATCATAGTAACATTGCGTTTAGATATGAAATCAAATAAAACTTTTTTTCCTTTTTCTTGGGGTGGGGCGAGAGCGAGTTTCAGAATGTTGCTGGCTAAAAACCACCTGTTCCTTGCCCTGCTCTAGGCCGGAACTGCAGTCCATTATTGCGCAAACCCATCCCTTCCCAATCCTTAAATATCTGAAACTATTTTGCCCTAAAAGGCCGGCAACGCGCTCGTAACTCCTTTGGTATTGCGGGTGTCCACGAGCGGTGCCGATTGCTTACCATCAGGTAATCCGTGCTCGATTGCCGTCCTATACCTATTACCTACCAAAAAACAAAAAGTTCGGGACAAGTGCACTTTGAGATCTGAGATACTGAGTACTTTAAATATCTTAAATTGTCCTACTCGTGTACCTAACTCAAAGCCTGTCCCGGTAAAAATATTTTATGACACATTTAAATAGCTTTTCTGTTTGATTAATTCTTTATAAAAATAGCATCTTAACACGTAATGGTAAGCCTTTTTTGGAGATAGGGGGTAAACATGAAATGACTCCTCTCGTCCATGGTGAGGCGAGTGGGAGTCTTAGACTCTTTCTGATTAAAAAACACCCCGTTCCTTCTCCTGCTCCAGGCCTAAACTGCATTAGTCATTGCGACCATGGATAACCACCCCTGACATTTACATCACAGCAGTAAAAGCTACACTTTCTGAAAAAATAATTCAAATAAATGTCAACCTTACTAGCAAAAAATTACGGTTGAAAATCCATTTACAAAAGTTTGACAGATTGGCGTAGGTTACTTTGATATGCTGTCTGTATTTCTATATAAGATTATACGTACGGCGTCCCGCGGGACTGTCGGTCGTATATCTTCAATGACGCACGTAGTCGTCATACCTACGTACTTAGGTACCTATGTGTATACATATCTATTTATTTTAAAAAAAACTTTGCCCCACATTAGGATTTTCTCCTGTATCTGCGGTGCGGTTACAAACATACAAGTGCGATTACACATACACATGATACCCAGACCCAGAACAACAATTTATTTATTTATTTATTTATTTATAAAACACACATGCATAATTTTACAGCAGAAGCCAAAACATTATACACTTAGAAAAAAAAAATATACATTTTACTACTTTACACTTATCAAATATTATTATAAAAACTTATATATAAAATCTTATACATAAAAAAAAAAAATAATAAAAATACAATACATATTCATCAGCTATCCATCTTCTCACAAAATCTTACACATTCACGACATAAATCCTTCCATCTCGCTGCGAACAAATCACACTCCGGTGCCGATACCAAGAGGGCATTGATCATTCGTTCCTGACTATGCGGGCTTGGGTTACGGGATTGGATAAAATTAAACACTAATACCGGTTTTTAAGACTTTCTATTGCACTTAAATGACAGTGTCCACCGAGTTAAGTTTTCGGCGTTCCTCTCCGGCAGAGTCCGGGTGACTGACACAAACTTCCGTTTGCCGCTCACAGTTCACGCTGACTTTCACTTAACTCACTGCACTTCACTATTTCACTCACTTTTCTTCTTTTTCACTTCTTCCTTTTCTTCCGAATCGCTTTGGACTTAGAACTCAACTTGGTTGCAGCTTCGGAGATTTTCCCTTCCTTCTGACTGGATTATGAAGCCAGACCAATGACCCCTCTTCAAACCCAACAGAATTGGCTCGTCGATATCAATATTGGTCAGGGGCAGGGGCCATAGTATTTCCATAGTTTTCATCCACTAGT